AATTAAACTGTTTGCATCAAAGCTAGAAAAAGCTAACATCAAGATTGCATGGCCTTTATCTAATTCATGTCAATAAAGAAAATAATAAAACTGAAGAAAAAAAGCGAATTGTCTAAGAATGTAGGATATTTTTTTATGAAAATGTTGAATTTATATTTTTATATTTTACTATTTTAAAAAAAATACCACAAATAATCGATAAACTTGTACTTTCCTTTATGTATTTTAACCTTAGTATTTCAAATTTAAACATAAACTTAGATCCTCAAATTTATTTATGTGTTCCCATTGTGTTTAGATTCATATACTCATTTGTGAGATAGAAAAATGTGACTAAGTAGACCAGTATGAAAGATTAGTACATGTACATGTATCTTACTCCTTAGATTGAAAAGCTTATTATATTTTGTGGGTAAATATTTTTCTCCTGTATTTCCTGCTCCACCGAAAAAAAAAATGAAATTCATTTAGAAATTCTCTGCAAAATTTACCAGTTACTGTATCTTATATTTATGCCCTTGACATGTTCTAAATTTTCAATTTACTCCAACCTGTTAAATTTTAAACACCTCGCTAAGTAGGAGATGCAGCGTGTAAAAAATGAAGGTTTAATAGAGTCTAAGATAGGTACACAATCTTGATCCAAGATGAAATAAATTTTTAAAGTAGAGATCATTTTAACAGTCTTTTGTGATAATTTTATGACATTTTACTGAATTCTAAAACTACTAACTTTCTGTTGTTTCACAACATCTTTTAAAATCATAAAACGAAGTATTTTTCATTGTAAAATAATTATTCATGGGTCCACTTTCAATTTCCAAAATCTACCATACTTCTTTAATAATGGTGGCATTAGAAATGACATCAAAGTTGCTAATGTAAATCGTAGGTCTGAGATTCCAAATGTTGTTCTTGTACACTTCTAGGCGGGTGAAGATATCTGGTTTGTACTGAAGCTGACATTTGATTCCCAGGCTTCTTATAGTTCTTTCACTTTCATATACTTGGTCTTCGTCGCAAAAATTGTCATTTTTGATGCACACTACATGTACATTTGCATAAGGACACTCTCTACCCAGTGTAGAAGCACTGATTTTGGCCTTCCTAGCCAGAGTATTCCCATTTACAATACCTTTGGCAACTAAGGACCACAAGTAATCTCCCTTTCCTCCAGTTGACACGAAGAACATCCATTTACCAGCAGTAACTCTAAAATTGTTTCCTAATTCAAAAATTTTGTCTTTACTTATATCTCTTGCCGATGCTTTCAGGTTTTCCCATGCCTCTTTTAATCCTAAAACGTCCATTTCATCCGAGTCATTTTCATATTTTGATTTTTCTGAACGGACGACACGAATCCAACCAAATCCATCATCTCTAAAAATATTTTGAAAAGTATATGGTAGAAAGACTCGTATTCAAGATTTAATGACATCATCAAATAAAATAACCTATGTATCCCATAAACATTCTAAGATAGAAATATAAACATTTTTAAAAGCTTTATATAAATGTCAACTGTGGATTTGAAAAAAAAAGTATGACAGTAGTACTTTCATCATGTACCCTGCTATGGGCAATGTATAAAATAGGGATGGGATGATACAACTTTTTCTATATAAATATGTTTCATGATATTTGAGCCATGATACGATATGTATTTCAATAGCTATACTGGTTATTTAATCTTTTTTGCATTGAAATGAACAAAACATACCTTCACAAATAAGAATTATTTCTTTAAGAAATGAATTTAATTTTTGAAGATTCATGAGGTTATGAACTACGACGCTTCACGCCCGCATATTTCATGAAGGTTGTTAGCGCTTCATGATAAATATGCCGGCGTGAAACGTTCATTTCTTATATTTACATTATTTTTCTGATGATTTGCCACAAAATTTGTGCCATTCAACTGTTATTCAAAGCAAAATAGTTTGCACTATAGTTTTGAAGTCAAGTGTGGTATTATGATGTAACAATGGAGATATTCATGCTCAACGATGGTAGTTCATGAGAAAGTAATTTTCATATTTGCAAAGAGTCTTAAGGAAAATTATTTGGAAATTTAAATATTTAAAGTTGAATATCTGTTATAAATCTAAATTATTTTACACAAGTGGTATTAATCATAATGTATATCAAATTTAGCACATTTATTTTGTATATTAAACAAAATATTAAATGTTAAGTACCGGTAAACAAAGAAAAACACAGTACAGATATTTCAATATTTCTTCAAACGTATCATCCTCACACAGAATTGATATTATCGATACCTCGTCCCAGCCCTAGTATAAAACCAGGTTTTCATACTTATAGAAGAGCATTAAAACCTTTCATTACCTGTGAATCAGAGAGGGTTTATTTTTCTCTAACCACTCCTCAATTGATTCCTTGTTCCTCCCAGTCTCATAAATCACAGATTTAGCATTTCTACACTCCAGTGAGTCTGCCGCATAGTAATCAGAGTCATACATTGCCATCTTTTTTGTGATTTCATTAGTTATGTAAACTCTTTCCTAGGGAAACAAGATAACCTGCCAAAAATGTATCATACATAAAGGATATTCAATGATTTATACATGTAGTTAAAGAAATAAAGAGAAGAACTTAAATCATGATATTCTCAACTTTAACACATATCTTCAAAGATCCATTATAATTAATCCTGATTTGAGTCAAATACATCTGCTTATATTTACATTTGCAAATGCTTTCCTTTATATAACACTACTATAAGCAATGCATATCTATAACTGTAAAATGCGTATCTATAACTGTAAAAAGGGGGTCAAGAGGTCATAGATGTGCGTATAGATAATCGTTCGACGTAATTTCTCAGTGACGTCATAAAGGGTCGACGTGCGTTCAGTGGATAACATACATGCCGTTGGGTTTGAAAAATAATGCATTTCACACATTAAAAGTCACAATCAGGTAAATATAAAGTATGAATAAGTCACAACTGTAAATATAAGTAATAAGGTATCATTTTAAAACATCTATCGGGCTATAAATACGGGTTGGTACGAGATTAAATTCATCATAAAGCCCTTATTTCTTGATTAAAAAAGAATTTGAAATATCTCATTTTCTTTATCATACCATAGTCGTACATGTATACATTAAGTTTTTCCTTTCAAATGAACAGAACATTTTAAAAAATGCCTTTATCTAAGTATTCAATATCTATTTTCCAACATTTAGATTGAATATTTTATCGTTAAAAAATCATGTCCTATGAACCCGTTTTAGAAGGGCCTGTTAGACACAGCTAACTTAATTCTTTAAGATTCTTTAAACGAAGTAATACCATCACAATCATGAGATTAACATCTTATCAGTGCATATATACGCATTGATTATTCAATAAGCGATCCACCAAAAATGAAATTCACTTCTGTCATCAAATTGTTAGTAGAAATGGCATTAATTAACATTTTCGGCTCAAATGTCGCAAGAAAAAAAATATCTAAATTTTACCCATGCCATCAATACACTTACAAATTAATTTTTATGTTGTCTACATCTATAAGCAATACCTGTATGAAACGTCCTTTTACCAAATATGATAAAATAGTCCGCAGGAGAGCGAACACATATGACTAGGAGTGAAAGTAGATTGTAAGCGTTGGAATACGCATCAGTCTTCCGGATTTTGATTATGATAGCCCGGGAAAAATTGAAAAGGCAAAGTTGAAAAGTACTGTAGTTATTTTCGAAAAGCACACTCAAATGACAACAAAATTTCAGGAGTCGAGCTGAAATTAAGCAGTAATTGACACTGTTAGCTATTCATTCTAATTAAAAGAACGATTTCAACATTAAAGACACACGCAACGTAGTTTTGTCAATTGAACTTACTTTTCTTATTCCATGTTCAATTTAAGAGTTACGATTATCAAAGGAACCTTTTGCAATATTTTGATGCCAGGATACATTGTGCAACATGGGAAAATACCCACTAAAACTGTATTTGCGTTATTTTTTCTTATTTATGTACTAATATCCTGCTATCACCTATATCTCCCAACTTATTCGATACTTCGAACATTCATCGTGTACCAGTATGATCAGTTTTTAAACCTTGGCAGAGTATTGAAGGATAAGCTGATGTTACAAGGGTTTTCAACAATTTCAATAAAGTCACCATTTTATTACTAGTGACCACATCAAAATCCCTTTAAGAGGCACCATTACTCATTACTCCACATACGGTACTTGGTTTCTTTGTTTACACAGGTGAAGAAAAAGATTTTGGAAGAATTAATGCATTTTTCCTTTATACAAGTATTACGTCACTACAAAATTTTATAGATACATGAAGTTCTAAACACATGTATAAAACTGAAAATAAATTGATGTGTTTTTTAAATATCTGTAGTAGGTATTATATTTTTGTACACTACATGTTCCTTACAGCAGAAATTCATTCTTGTATGAGAAGGATGATATGGAGATAATGAACAGTATTCAATATCAGAGTATGAAAATACTTTTGGACATTTTGGGGCAGTGTTTTCTGGATACCCTACAGTGATCAGTCTGCAATTCATCCATTATATTGGCTGAGTATATGCATTCTTCCTTTGACCAGTTGACCAATCTGGTTCAATTCATCATCACAATGGTAAAGCCAATGGGCAAGGATGTGTAGAAATTTTACATTACAAATTAATTAAAATATTTTGTGTGTGGGTGTGCTTGTTAATAAAATTCTTTTCAAGGCAAATTTTGGTATTAACCAAGTGTTTAAATTTCTTCATACAAGGAGATAAGATATCCTGAAAATAGGAGAACTCAATGAAAAGCCTTGCTTATTTCTGCAAGCAAAGATTTTGACTAGTCAAATAGTCAATATACAGTACTGTTGAAGCTTATAATCACCAACACTGATATCTAAAATACCATGGATATCTCAAAGTTGGAAGTCCCAAATACGTTTTCTTTCTGTACTTTAACCATAGTATCAAAAATTTAGATATAAACTTAGATACTCATATCTATAAATGTGCCATCTTAGCTAGCCAAGAGTTTCTGATTCGCTTCTCTCTTCATAAACCCTTGGCACGGTGTAGTACCTAAACGGTTGTTATCAGAAAAAATTGCGAGTTCGTTACTGCTATCTGAAAATTGAGCGGTTGCTAGTGGAAAAAAATGGACGAAATTGTAAGTTGTTTTTCTTCGCTGGCTCAACAAAATGGTCAATAATTCAATTATTAAAGTTTAGCCGCTTGGTATTTCACCCTTACGGAACGTTACATACATTTTGAAACTGACATGTATATTTATTATATGATTGAATAATTTCCATCTCTCTGATTGGCTGAGATCCAACTATGTTAGAAAAATACTACGTTGTATTGACCTGCACGTGACGTTCCAGGTCAATACAAGGATTTATTTCCTCTACATTGATCTAAAATAGATTGTGAAATTCCAAATTGATACAAATAGTTTTGGAAAGCTATTTAAACGATTGTGATTTTTGTTTTTCATGTGAAAAAAAACATAAGCAAATATATATTTTAGGGTGAGGGTGGTAAGATAGAATGCAGGGACCCCCCTCCAACACTTGAACTGAACATGTTTTTTTTTTTTTTTTTACTTTTTGGCAGTCAGTTTTCCCTGATAATATTCCTTTTCTTTCAAAATCTATCCTATAAAAAGACTGACATATTATTTTTTTCATGGCAACTAAATTGATTAAAAAAAACCATTTCAAATTGATACGACTGGTAAGGTTTATACACATTTGAATTCTGTTTCTCTCTTGTATTTGGCTAGGACTTAATTAAATGCAAGTTAACAAGTAATGAGCTGTATCATTTTATTAGTGAATCATATAATAAAACAATTATTGCTGTTTTTTTTCGGTCAATACAATGATTTAGCCATCTTCGAAGTACAATATTCACCTCGCCCTTCGGGCTCGGTGAATATTGTACTCCTCAGATGGCTAAATCATTGTATTGACCTCAAAAACCAGCAATAATTGTATATTAGAATTTTAATGAATTGAAGGATTGCTGATATATAAGACGAAAACTGGCGAAAGCGTTGGACACATCTACATGCACGTAAGAAATATATTAAAATTGCGTCAAAAGTTTTAGATATTTGATAAAAATGAATCGACAGTTCGTTGTGTATTTGTAAATATTATTGGTTATTTTATATCATTGTCCGCTTTCATGGGTTTCTTACAAGCTAGAGCGTTTTTATTAGGAGAATCTTGTGTTACGGCTACTATTAGACAACGGCACCGGTTACTATTTGAATAGGTTTAAGTTTTCAAATTTCATGAAATCACATCCTCAATTTACATATGTTATGCAATTACAGTTCCTTAAGAAAACTATATATATACCGTATATTCTTTCTTAATGATTGACTTGTCGTGTATGTTACTTTCGATCATATAATGACAAATTAATCGTATATTTATATGTACAATGTATGTTGTAAATAATGGAGTTTGTATGTACATTTACCCTGTACACGTAGGCTTTGGAACAGGGGTAGGCTAAGCCTTCCCATTTGTTTTTTTGCAAAGATACAGACATAATATAGGCACTGAAAACTTGGGCTAATCTTTTTTTTATTGGACCAGGTGTAGCCCCCCCCCCCCCCATCTTTCAATTTGCTTCCAACGTCTATGGAACATGCACACACAAACAACTGTTTTGTGTTACCCATTAAATCATGTGACCATTCAATTTATTATATTCCAGCTATGTTATTATGCCAGATTGGTTAAATTTACGATTTGGAATTTTAAAAAATCATAATTATCGATTCACAAACCACGAGAGATTATTTGTCTCAAATATTTACGCAACCCACCTCTACAAATCCAAACATAAACCTACAAATTAGCAATCTCAATATCTGATTTAAAAAAAAAATATGAATTGAAAAATGAATAAAGCTCACATAAAGTTATAAAGTTTTGCTGTCCAATGTCGATAATTACTCAAGTACAAATTTTAATGAAAATATATTAAGTCAATTTTCAAGAAATTCGACAGTAAAAAAAAGTGGAAAACATTAATATAAAAACCACGCTTTGTATCGTGGCGGGGGGGGGGCTTGTCTTTTCTTACCTATATAATTTAAAGAACTCTTAAAAGCCTAATGGGGCGAGGAGGGGGATGATGTTTTGAATATTGCATGTTAGTCGTTCAACGAACCAGTGCATCACCGTACTTCGAAAAAGAAATATGGAATTAGAAATATTTGACAAAGCTTATACTTTAACTTTACTAGATATTATACATGTTTAAGTATACATGTAGGCTACAAAAATCCCCCAAAACGCTAACTTAAGAAAGGTTTTAAAGAAATGATTGTAATTGATTGTAAATGTATATCATATGCTATTTCAAATTGATTTACGGGTCATTTCGTGAAGCTTTCTCTTTATTTGTTTAGCAATCCTTTTCGAAGATCAGCTCTACTTTGCAAAAATACGATAAATTCGAGTTACGAACG